GGTCTTCGGACCGGGCGAAAGGGGGTGCTCATAGCTGACCTTCCCCGATCGTACCCAAGCTCCCGAGCCGAGACAACTCCAGTGATGACGGACATGTGGCCTTTTGCACCGAGTCAGGGTTTCCTAAATTCCCTCATTTTAAAATATTATGGTGGCGACTCTGTATCTGGCAAAGCAGTCCATGTTTGGCACTACTTTTTTCAAAAATCAGTTTCTCAAACGATTTGCAGTGCCAGATTTGGACTCTTTGGTTCGGATTAAGAATCGTGACACAAGTCGAGTCCAAACTGTAGTAACCCCAAATGAACAGAACGGGACTCACCCTCCCGGGGCGTTCGGGGGACGTCTACTGTGAGTTTTAATGGAAATGTTACTGTAGTAATTAGGTTGGTTGATTTAGGCCATCTATAATTTTTGTTGGATTCATGTTAGGGAAGGTAGTACTTCCATCGTTTGAGAAGTTCTTGTTATGTTCACATCGCTATGTTCAAAAGGTGTAGTTAGTAGACCTTCGATGTTAGTTGCGACATATCTTGTGAGGAATGATCGGTGAGAGTGTTGGACTCTTAAGAGTGAGTTTTAAAGGATAATTCCTTCTATATATGTGTGGATACCACGCCTTTTTAACGGGTGCACTACACATTATGCCTAACTCAAAACTTTTCATCTTCATCCCACATTGAATGTGAATCATAATAATCTATAATTGTGACATTATTTATCCCACAAGTTACCAAAATAGATCGATTCACGAAAAAGAGTTGCCACTTAGTGTTTTTTGGAAACTGAGAAATCGGTTTGACTCTTAAACCAACATTTAGGCACAATTCCGTCATAACTAAAATCTTGGCTCGGGAGTTTAGGTACAAAAAAAGGTCATCAATTGAGCATCCCTCTCACCCATTCAAGTGATTGGCCTTTACTAATCCTTTACTTTATGAGATTATATAATTCAATTGGCTCTCATAAACTCAATTATTAACACTAAAGTTTACTAAACTATCAACTACGTGATTGAACAAACAACATATCGCCTAATTTGGACTCATGAATAAAACCATATTAGCCTATGATTTTCACACAAAAAAAATATGATTTTCTTGCACAAAAACATAGCTATAAACATGCTTCCAACTCAAACAATATCACAAAACCATCCAAAACACACAATTAATCCCAAATAAAGCATCTAACTTGCATTATTGAAAAACAATACATCAAACAAGCAAATATGCTATGAAGAGAGAGAAGTCACCTAGTACTCCTCACCACCTTGCCAACAAAACATGCCATATTATACAATGATCCTAAACATGATGCAATATGAACCTATAACCCGGTTAGGCAACTAACATGATGAATATGCATCAAAGCAACACTTAACACATAATGAATAAAAAATAAGCTAAATAAACATAATATGCATGAACTAACCGAGTTAATATGCATGAATTGCAACAACTCTATCAACCTAAAATACAACAATCATGCAATTAAGCTAACCAAATCTAAACTACATGATGTTATGCTAACATGTGATCAACTAATCATTACTAAACATGGAAAACATGATTAAAACACATTGAAATTGTCAAAGACTAAGAACAGTACCTAGGGTTTGAATATCAAACCAAAAACCACAAGAAAGGCGAGAAAACGTGTTTCGGTGCTTCCCTTAAGCTTCAACCGTGCTTTTATCAACTTGGGGCCTAGGGTGGTGCTCCCTCTAGGCCTCATGTTCAACTCCCACTAGGTGCTATCAACTCCTTAGGACCACATCCGCAGGCTCTGCCCTAGATTTGCCTGTTCCACGTGGAGAGGGCGCTTTGCGTAGGTCCTGGGATTAGTCGAGGTGCACATAAGATGGCCTAGACACTGGGTCATCTAAAAATTAAAAAAAAAAATTAGCTGCTATAATTAGGGTTCAATTTCGGATTGGTAGGCTAAGGGTTGAATTCTCACTCTTCTAGTTCAACTCACACTCTTCTTAACTCAACTCTTGGAATCCTCAAAAGAAAGGCTAATATGGGTATGGGTGGGGGTTGTTCTTTATAGGCTTGGAGAGACTTGGGGGCTAAATATAGACATTCTAGGATTCTCATGTCTCTTTTTCACGGCGCCTCTCCCCATTATCAAACAACAATTCCAAACAAAACATAACGTTGTCCTAGCCGAACACACGTGCGGCCGTGATAGCAATGTGCGGCTAAACAATGCATGGCGTGGGTTGACTTTCCAAATGCAGTTGTGTGTTGGTCAACCCATAGGCCCACAAGTTCCAAAACCCACCCTTCAATTCCTAGGCTAACTTGTTGTCTGAGAAAGTCCAATTAACTCCCAATTGACATTTTGATTGAAAACTAGCTAATACTTCTAGAAAATTATCAACTTGGACTTAATTGGACCTCCCCCTCTCCCTTCTCTTCGAAAAAGGCCAAAAAGGTTAGGTTTGGATAAAAACGATTTTCAAGGGTAAAATGATAATTTTAGAAAAAATGTGGTATTTGGTGTACAAAGGTGATATAGCAACTCACAGCAACCCAAAGCATTTCTAAAGTCAAAGATGAACACTTTTCATCATCAGAAAGTATCCAAATGCTTAAATCTTTATGATTGGACAAAATGGGGTGTCTACAATATGTTTGGTATGCTTGGGGAGTGTGTTGGTGAGGAAGTGGTTATTAGGAGCTGAGACTTAGGTTGTAGTTATTGTGGTTGAACTAGTTCTATAACTTAGTCAAATTTTGGAGGCGGTTGGAACGACTCGAGTCTTAAACCAGATATATTTATGTTATTTGGTACCTGTTATCGTATACTTGTATTTTTTTTTTTTCAAACTCTTGTTAATGATAAGTTTGCATTTGAAATTTTAATTTTAACCCAACCCTTATGGCTTGTTGATTAATTACATTTTCTATACATTACTTGGTAATTGAGAACCTTGTCTCAAATTGTTTCAATTTAAAATTACCAATGAAGTTGTCGATTGCACATGTGTTTAACTTGGGAAATTCTACACATTCCTAGAAATGCGATCGATCGCATTTCCTTGGGGAATCGATTGCTTCGTGAATAATAAATTAGCGATTTGAGCAGTGGCATGCAATCACTGGGTGATCTCGATAACATGTCGATTGCGTTAAATTTTTGAAATTTCAGCAGTACCTTACGATTACTAGGGGATCGATCGCATTGTAGAGCGATCAATCGCCAAACAAGTGCGATCGACTACCTTCTCAAACAAAACTACGGAGCATGTTTTCTTCTTTTTATCTCATCTTTCCCTCTTTTCTCCCACCCAAAATTCTTGACGTAGGAGATCAGAGGTGTTTGGTAAAAAAAAATTTCAACTTAAAGCAGTTTTTTACTTAAATTAAGCTAAATTGGTGTGTTTGGTAAAACTTATGAGGCACAGATTATGGCTTAATTTAAGCCATTTTCGGCTTAAATGTAAAAGTTGCTCCAAGGGTGCTTATATTTTGAGCTTAAGAGCGCAGCGGGAGCTTCTATATACACACACCCTTTCCTCTCTATACAAATCCTTCTCAATACACACACTAAAAAAATAAATCCTAATATATTTGACTCACTACACACACCTATCATTCCACATATACCCCCAAATGTAAATCATACACACACACACCTCCTCTCATACACACACCCGTCTGTCACCCCTCTCACACACACACCCATCTCTCACACTCTCCACCGTTCCTCCCCAAAAGCTTCATCCATCCATCTGTGTCATTGAAGTATTGGCATTGAAGGGCATTGAAGAGCATTGAAATCTTCACATTTTAGGTTAGTTTACACAGATTAGAATCTTCTCACTCCTATTTTATTTGTAATGTAGGGTTAATTTTTACCATTTTCCGTCCACCATTGCAAGTGATTGCCGTGTTTCCTCATTCGGAACTGGTTAGTCGAATTTTTTGTTTTTGTTCGGCAATCTAGTTTTGAAAACAAGAATAATATTCGGCATTAGAGTTTCAAATTTTCTGCTTCTATTCGGCACTATAGTTCCGAAAATATTTACTTGGTTCGGCTTTCAAGTGCCGAAAATATTTTTTTTTTTTGGTTTTCAACTTCCGAATAGTAGCTTTAATTTCGGACAACAACTTCCGAACATAATAGGTATTTTCGGTTGTGAACTTCCGAATAGGTTTTTTTTTTTTTTTTTTTTTTTTTAATTATAACACTTTTTATAATTTAAAACACTTATTATTTACACGCACTCATTACACACACTCTCATTAATTTTACACACACTATGTTTATTTACACACACACTCATTACACACTCTCATTAATTTTACACACACTATGTTTATTTACACACACACTCATTACACACTCTCATTAATTTTACACACACTATGTTTATTTACACACACACTCGGGACGAGGGCGTGGGCGAGGACGAGGTCAAGGTCGTGGTCGAGGTCGTGATCCAGTTTCGGTAGAATATGATATTCCCAGTGCCAGTCAAAGTGGGGGCCGAAGCCAAAGATGAGTTGAAGGTTATGATATGCCTGACATTGCTGTGGAGAATACCTCTTTACCTGATTCTCCTCCTGTCTAGGAAGAGTACCTTACTCATGCTTTTCCAGGTGGACCGACTGATCCGTCAATACTGCGGAGTTTCAATAGTCATGTGGCTGCAGCTATTTGGCATGGGAAGATAAACATTCCTCAGTAAACTGAAATTCATTTGTATATGATTTTTTTTTTTTTGTGTGTGTGTGTGTGTGTGTTGTATGGTAGTTTGTAATGAGATATCATTTGTGTTGTAGGAACGAGGGCCCCTAAAGTGTCATAATCACTCTTCCAAGATCCTTGCATGGCCATGGTGGTTAGTAGAGAACAACACCAGATTCAAAGCCATTATTGAGCAGTCTGGACTGTCACAGTTAGCTCGTTGCACTTATCGGTTCGTCAACAAGCTTCTAATCTCCAGTTTTGTTGAGAGATGGCAACTTGAGACGAACACATTTCACATGACCGTTGGTGAGATGACCTTGACCCTGGATGATGTTGGCACTATTCTTGGCCTTCCCATTGTAGGCAAATTAGTCAGCATACCAGATGTGACAGATCATCATGGAGTTACATTACTCGTTTATGGCTTGGGGATTACTGAACGTGCAGCACATGAAAAGGTTTCTTCTGCTGGTGGTAATTCAGTCAGGCTTGAATGGTTACGATGTCAATTTGCTGGTGTCACAGATTCAGACCCCGAGGAGGCTATACAGTGCGCTGCAAGAGCTTATTTTTTGTTTCTGTTGGGATGTACACTCTTCAGTGACAAGAGTGGCGGCAAGGTTCCCGTTGTTTACCTCGACTTGTTCATGGATTTGGGCTCCATACATACTTATGCCTGGGGTGCTGCTACATTAGCATTTTTATATAGACAGTTGGGGTTTGCTAGCCGGTCTGGGGTTAAGAAGATGGGTGGTTATATGACTCTTTTGGAGGCGTGGATTTATGAGCACTTCCGAGCATTCCGACCTCATCAGAACATGGGCTACAATGAAGACATGCCACACGTGTACCATTGGGCATCTAGGAGAGAGGCGGGTTCCTCCATTGACCATTTGAAATCTTTTCGAGCCGAGCTTGACAGTTTAGTAGCTACTGATGTAAGTTTACTTATCCTGCGATAATTTTAACACTTCTATTTATCTTACCCTTTATGTACTTTAATGCAAAAACACTTTACATTTACAGGTTATTTGGGATCCATACCACAGCTGCAGAGACCGGCATCCATGTAACCCGGTTATGTTCTACCATGGATGCTTAAAGTGCTTAGACGTTGTCGAACCATATCATCCAGATAGAGTTTTGAGGCAGTTTGGCAGGGTTCAAACCATCCCAGATGCACCGCTAGCTCCTAGTCGTGGTGCACGAGGCAACATATCTGCACGATATACCATCATGTACAGATACTTGGATAGGATGTGGGAGGCTTGGGATAATTGTCGAACCCTATCATCCAGATAGAGTTTTGAGGCAGTTTGGCAGGGTTTAAACCATTCCAGATGCACCGCTAGCTCCCAGTCGTTGTGCGCGAGGCAACATATCTGCACGATATACAGTCATGTACAGATATTTGGATAGGATCTGGGAGGCTTGGGATAACCGCGTGTTATCTGAGCAACGGAGGAGCACACCAGTTCGTCAGCCTTGGGAATGTGTATCGGGTTATATGGATTGGTATAAGGATATCACGCACCTATATGTCGAGCACACTGATGAACCGCGTGTCCATGACCATCAGGATTTCAGCGAACATGCGGATGTAATCTATTATCCTCTCTTATGCATATGTAACTTCTTTTTTTTCTGATATGTTCCCTAAAATGTGATATTCTTTTCAAATGCAGCGTATTGCACTTGCACTGCAGATTTCACATCCTATTAGTGACGCTGGTTATCAGGAGGGGATTCGCCATCCTTATCGACTTTACCAGGCTATCGAGAGTATGACACATGTTCTTGAAGGTCAGCACATTGACGAAGCTGGACCTAGTTCTGCTGGAGGTCGCTTTCCATCTTCGACTTTGACATACAGTCGTAGGCCTAGGCGTAGGCATACAGCTGATTCGTGGCATGTTATTTTGTTACATGTTATTTTGTTAGTTGATGAATCTTTTTTGGCGTTTTTTGTAAGATGACATTGTTGTAATGGTAACAGTGGTTAATATTTTCTTATTAGAATTGAATGGCAACAATGGTATTGTAATGACATTGTAATGACATTTTATTATTAGAATGGAATGGTAACAATGGTCATTGATTTTCTAAACGATATTTTATTATTACAATGGAATGGTAACAATGGTCGATAACATTCAATCCACATTGTAAAACATAACACATCAACATAAAAAACACATCCATTAATTTCTTCCATAATTCTAACATTATCAAATGCATACATGTGTCATGCGACATCAACAACATCAAAAGTCTCTCGAGTATCTACATTATCATGAATAATGTCCTTGAAATGTTAAATGCGGCGCACATATGCATCATCCCAGTCGACAGCGCAAGGGTGACGGTATTTTCTCCAATTAGTGGCAATAGGAGGAACTGGATGGCCTGGCTGCAACAAAACCTGCACCAAACATCAATTGACTTAGTGGTCATACCTCATAACTTCTTGTACATGAACAAACCCAATTGATAAGTTTCTGTTATACCTGGACGAAATGATTTCCGTTGACAAACCCAATGGCAATCTCACGTCTATCAAGTTGAGGTATTGGCACTGTTCTAAGAGGTAAAAAGGTGAGACATTGCTGTAAAGACAAGTGGTATAACACAAGATTGTAGCACGATGCAACAAGATGCCCCATGTCTGGCATAGTCATCCAATGTGAGTGTCCAGGACTGTCTTCAAAGTATGACAATATGCTTGTCAATTCTTCAAACCTTTCATAGGACCCATAAAGTGTAATGTATTCCTTTTTGTGTGTGTGCAGCTCACCCAATAGGTCACGCCTAACTTGAGCCCAATCATCTTCTGTATGACCAATTGAAGCAGCTATAGCCCTGAAACCACAATTCCCATCTGCAGCTACATCCTTGACAAACTTAATGTATGGTTTCAACCCAGCAGGGAAAGCATCAACATATGCACCAGGTTTCACTGTTCTAGTAATGTATGCCTTCCCTTTCGGGTTCACCTTCTCCTTTCCCTTAACAGGTCGCTTCTTCTTGGTTTGCAGAGTAGAAGCTAATATAGTGATTTGAGTGTCCCTAAGTGAGAAGGAATCATGTCCAGATTGCACTAACTCAAATGCACACGGGTCAAGACGGGTAGAAACATTGATCTTCTTATGACCCCGAGGACGTGTTTTGGGCTTCACCTCCGGCTCAACAAGAAAAATGCTTCCCGGATATACAATCTCTTTCAACTTCTTCAAAAGCTCCAACCGCATAGTTCTATCACTTTCATTAAACTTGTTCACAAACAACTCTACTTCTGCATGACAAGTCACCTCTGTTTCCACTGTGAGTGTATGGTAGCAAGTGGTATAGGACGATCTTGTCTGATGTAGTTAGCAATCTCATGGGCGCAAGGTAAACCATGAGTGTGGCGAAGGACGCATCCACAAGCTTCAACATCAATACCAATGGAATTGGCTCTCTTACTCTCGACAAGCAAATACTCCAATGCAGAGATAGACACATTCCCCCGTAGCTCCCTGAATTGAGAAGGTTTAAATTGATGTTGCACAACAGTTAGACTTTTCTCAAATGAAGCCTTGATATCAGTGTGTTGCAACTCAAGCAGACTGTGTATTTTCTCAAATGATGCCTGAAATGAGACTTGACATGAACCCAATTGTCTTTTAAGTTTTGCATGTGCACTCTCAGCCCTGTTCAATTCAATGTAAGTCAAGTTAAAATCAAGTACATGGCACTTGTTAATAACATATTGAAGAAAAGTAATCTTACCGGTTCGTTGTAACATTGCCACAATGCATACATGTGTCTGTCCATGCCGCCACAAATTTGTCCTTGTAAGGAACCAACCAAGTATCCATGACATATTTGACTGCATCAGGATAACTACTGAATTCCTTAAGTAATGATTTAAGACGCTCCTCGTATTGAATTTCAGAAGATGAATACACTACAGAGTTCCACTCATGGTTGAACTTCTCCCATTTTTGCTGTGTCTCAAACATTTTCTTGCATTTGGTCAACACATTCTTACTGATATGCCAACGACGTAATAAATGTCTAGCCCTCGGGAATATCTTCTATATGGCATTCATCAAGGCTAGCTCTCTGTCAGTAACAATAACTGTTGGCACAACAAACCCATCCATGGCATCACGCAATGTAGCTAACACCCACGTATAGTTATCGACCCTCTCATACTGTAAGTATGCAAAAGCTACAGAGAATGTCATTTCAGTTGATGTCACTCCCACAATTTCAAGAAGAGGAAGCCGATATCTGTTGGTTTTATATGTGCAATCCATAATTAATATACGTGGGAAAGACCGAAATAAGTCCAAACTGGTAGGATGTGCCCAAAACAAGTCTGTCACAGTCATCGTGGACTCTTCAGACCGATGGCGCTCAATGTAATTATACTTGGCCAATTCACCCAATACGTGTTGTATCTGTGATCTTCCAACTCTCTGTACCACCCTGTTTCGATGGCGTACATTGTAAATGGTTTTAAGTGCTTACATTGAAGGCATCTCGCTGTTTCAAGGTTACTAGGATTTCTTTTGGCCAAACCATGCTCTTTGACATATCCATTAACAATGTTTTCTCATCCTTTGATAGCCTCCCCGCATATGAATGTCCCTCGAGGTGCTCCGCAGGTGGATGATTATGCAATCCGCATACTACGGTCAATGTCCATTCATCATGTGTGGTAAACCTGTGAGCCCTCATATCAAAAGGACAACCACACTTCTTCGTACCTGTTATTCTTGATGTATTGTTGCCATCATGTTTTAACTTCTTTGTTGCTCTATATTGGCCACTCCTCTCACAAGCAAGATACATCATGGGTCTTTTTTTCCCTCCACCATAGTTTGATGTTTTGATTACAATGACCAAACCATTTCTCTTTCCAACTTCACGTACCCAGTTGAGCAATTCATCCTTACTTTTGAATACCTACAAAGTTAAATAAATATTATCAAACATTTACATTTGGTGAGCAATTCGAAACATAATCGTTATAATTTTGTAGACTGAACCTGTTCAGTTGTGAATTGAGTGATGTAATCTAACACAAAATCTGCGCAAACCTGACTTCCTTGAGTTGACACATATTCCTGCATGTTTTGTATAACATTACAAATTTTTAATGGCATTATAAAGATTAATTTGCAATTTGAAACTGTAAATTTGGTATGCAGTTTGCAAATTTGGAATATAAAATGGAAAAAAAAAAATTTACTTCATTCAGAAATAGTTGTCCGAATTTTTTTTAAAATTTTGGAAGTTGAATGTTGTAAAAGTTACCTTTGTTCGAACATCAACTTCTGAAAATACATAATTATTTTGGTAGTAGATTTCCCTAAGTGAAATTACTATTTTAGACACCATTGTTCTGTATCCCCACTTGGGTTTTTCAACATTTCATTGAAAGCTAATTGGGTAATAATTAACATTAAACATTCAATTTAGAATTTATTTATAGTGGTTGTGATGTTGCTGCTGGAATGAAAGCTATCAACGAGAAAAAAAAATTTGGTTCAGACTCATTTTATTTTGCACCAAATGAGAATTATGAGCCAGTTGTAAGCTACATCAAGTATTAATTTGGTCTATAAATTTTATTTTTAGATAGTTTTTTGGACTTTTTCTAGAACTAATAGTTCTGCTACAAATGTAAGAATCGATCTAGAAATGAATACAAGATACACATGAATTGATAAATTTTATCCAATTGAAAAAAATCTTATATGTCTAAATAGAGTATATCTGATCCTGTGACGGATTCAAGTTTACTGAACAACTCTCCAAGTCAAGACATGAATTAAAAATGATAGATCATGAGAGTTGTGTGTTCAATTTGATTTGATATGGTTGGATGTTTAATTGTAAGTGTTGTTTTCGTGAGAGTGGGTGTTCTATTTCAATTTATGTCCTTTATAGTAATTTTAATTGAGGTTATAATTAATCTTTAAAAAAAATATCAACAGGAGGGGATCCTTAGAAAAAAAATGTGGGAATTATTAGCGTCACAAAATTACATATATATAAGGTAAATTATACTTTTTCCCTTAAACTTTCATCTAAATTTTCCTTTGGCTTCTCACATTTTAATTGCAACAATAAAATCCTCAAAATTTAATGTAATTCTTCCGCTCACATATAATTGGGGAGAGACAAACCTCTGTCCTCCTTAATTTGGTACAAGGATTTTTGGCCAACAAATTAACAAAGTAACCCCCTGTGAAACCATGTTAGTCAACTGTATAAAATTGTATAGGAGGCTAATCAGATTGTTGAGATTTGTTTTTGGTCCTCTAAATGTACCAAATTACTAGCAATTAAAGCCTTTAATAAGCCCTCATAAGAGTCTGAGGGTCTGTGATGCTAAACAGATATATAAAATATAATTAATTAATGTTTTGACTTTTTATGCTCAACAAAATTTGGATATGAGTTTATTACCAAGCATGTGAATAGGAATGGCAACGGGCCGGGGCGGGGTCGGGGATCACCCTCCCCGTCCCCGATCCCCGAAACTACCATGTTCCCCGTCCCCGGCCCCGATCCCCAGCGGGAAATCCATCAACCCCCCTAGCCCCGCCCCTACGGGGCTCGGGTTTCCCCGACCCCGGTTTATCCCGTACTCATCATCACAACATCATTCACAATCAGCAACATCAATCAAAAAAAAAAAAAAGGTTCAAAAATCATCAACATAAACATCATCAACGGCAGTACGCAACATCATTAAAAAAAAAAAATTCATCAACACATCATCAAGGCAGCAACATCATCAAAAAATAAAAATAATAAAAAAAAGTAAAGACAGATCTGGCGGAGGATAAACCGGAGGCGATGGTAGAGACAGATCTAGCGGAGGGATAACTGGAGGCGATGGAGGATGACGGAGGCGATGGAGGACGACGGAGGCATGGACGATTGCGACGACGACGGGGAGGGAGATCGGCGTGAGGGGAGTGTTTTAGAAAGAGAGAGAGAGAGCCGATGAGGGGGTGACAGATCGATCGACGTCCGCAGTGACGAAGGAACAACCAGGGAGACGGAGGATCGACGTTGGTAGCCGTGTGACCAGAGAGAGAAGAGAGAGAGCGCTGTAGTCTATATGATGTGTGTATGTGAAACCCTAGAATGAGTCCAAGAAACAGAGAAAACATATATGTATATATATATTTAGGGAGGGGTACCACGGTAATTTCAGATCGAGGTAAACAGATACGGGGATGGGGTCAGAGCCGGGCCGGGTTCGGGGCTGGGAAGGTATCACCGTCCCCGGCCCGAAAATGATCGGGGATTCATTTTTAAATACCATCCCCTACCCGTCGGGGGTATTTTTCAGGGAAAATCGTTCCAATCGGGGTCGGGGGTTCGGGTCCCCGTCAGGCCGGTTTCAAATTGCCATCTCTACATGTGAATTATCAGAGACTAGTAATTAGGTGTTGGGAGGTTGTCAAGGGGTGTATACGTTAATGGAGGAGATGTTTTGGAGTTGCAACCTTGCTGCTTGTGGGTGAATATCTGGAGAGGGGGAGAGAGCGAGTTTCTGGCAGTCATCATTATTATTTCTTAGTCATTTTCCTCTTCTTGGAAGGATAATTTCTTGTATGTATGCTTGTTTCCTACTTAGATGCTATGAAATTTTCATTGCCAGAAAGTCTTTATGACAATTATGAATTGCTGATTCCAAATTTTAAAATTTCCTCTTCAATGTTGTAGACGCTGCTCATGATTTAATCCTTGGAAAACCAGGTAGGCAGGTGTATGAAGGGTCCTACACATATTGAGGATATGCTTGAGAGGATATAACTAGAATGGCCAGTTGAAATAGTTTTTCACTCTGTTTGCCAAGTTAAACCAGAGTTCCTCCCACTTGTCCTATAATAGGAGTGGGCTGCAGGCTTCACAATGTGCCTGAAAACCTTTAGTCAAAAAGGGTTAGGTTTGATTTGGCTTCCAATACTTCTTGAACATTTGTGCTCGTCACCAAAATGTGAATACCTGAATATTTTTCGTAGAGCAGAAACATAATTATTAATTAAAAAATGAGGAAACACGGCGTTGCGTCCTTCGCCCATCATGTTTTGGCTACGTGCAGTAATATGTCAATAGGGATTTCAGTTCTTAACATATTACTAACTTCTTACGAGTGTTGTATCTGCTTGTTTTTCTTTTGATGTTTATTATGAATACTTTTGCAGGATGAGAAAGATCTTAAGTTCCGGGAACTATCCACAGAGCTACATCGCGAGAGGAAAAGATCTGCTGCCTATCAAGAACAACTACAGATGGTTTTGAAATATGTAGAGGAACACACTCGGTGACTATCATTGAATGTGCAAGTAGTTTCTGATAAAGTGAGAGAACTTGAATCTGAAGGAGAACAAGATGATTTAGACTTAGATAATATAAGTGGTGTCATTTTGAACCATTTGTTTTGCCTTCCTATCAATGAACCAGCTGCAGATCTTGTGCCTTAATGTTGTATAATTGATTGCACTTCTAATGTTTACTTTGGGCTGTTTTGTTTGCAACTCCGTTGACAACTACTTGTGAACCAGTCAATTTTTGAGTTTGGAACTATTTCTTCTACACGGCCAAGCGGTTAGCCTGGTGGGTCGGGCACCAATTTTCCAGGTGTTCGCCCTGGTTTAAGCCACACCAGCTGTTTAGAGACCTTTCTCCTCTGGTTCTAGTTATTTAACCAGTGTTCTTGAATGTGCTTTAAAAAAAAGAAAAAAAGGTTCCATTTAACAATGACTTCAATGCACAAAGCTCCAGGAGTTGAGTTCCTTTGTCTTTTTTTTTTTTTTTTTTTCATTAGTTTGGGTGTTTGGGATTTACTTTTTTTTTTTTTTTAATTTTGTTGGTTAATTTCATTTTTAGCAATTTTTTTTTTAAATTTTGTAAAAAAAAAAATGGACTTTTAAATTCTACTTGATATGATGAATCAAATAAATGATTTATTTTTAATTTTGTAAAAAAATTAAACTTTTAATTTTACTCAATCAAACGAAGAAAAAA